AATCTATTATTTAGTGTTAGTGATTTTCATTTTGTTCTTAATGCTAAGGTGACTTGATCGCTCATCTTTGATCTTTGATTTGGATTTTGGTTGGAAAATATTTTCTAAATATAGTTTTGAATAAAATTACCTAATATCTCTAAAGACTAAGAATAGATTTGGAGACGTGGTAACATTTCCTCTTTGTCCTTTATTCTCAAACTTTGCATTTTTTTCTATTTCAAATTTCAAACTTTGATAATTATTTAATTTTACATATACCCTTGTTTAAAACTATCATCACATAATTCTATTTAAAACAACTAATATTAGTCTTTAGGAAAATATTATATTTATAACTTGTTTCTTTAAATGCACGCCAATATTTATAGACAAATTTTAAAAAAATACATATATTATTTCTAATACAAATTAAAAAATAATTAACATTATAAAATAAGAACATAAATTATTTCAATACATTTTTTAAATACTAAAACTATTAAAAAAAAAAGTGTACTGTACTTAGAACAATCAATAAATATATAATTTTAAGAGTATGTTGTACAATATTAAATTCCACTTAATATGTGTATAGTGTCTAACATTAAATACGAATAGTTTTAGATTGAAAAAATGATAACAAATTTAGGCTCTGTCCAATAAATCTTATTTTAATTCTAAATTTTATTTTAGTTTTTTATATATTAAAATACTTATTTTGATCTTTTATTTTTATATTTAGATCAATATGATCTTTTTAAAATAATTATTATTAATTTTGTGACATGCTTTAACTAATTCAATATATGAAACTTGTAACATTAGTCTTATATCAAAACTATAAAATTCAATTGTCTTTCAAATTCTCTAAAAAGGTTATAAATGTGTAAAAATTTAAGTATGAGTCTACTATGACCTTAGCATGCATAATTAAGTCTCTAATGAAATTAGTCCACTAATTACCTTTCAAATACTACGTCCCTTTTAGTTCTTAGATAGGAATTTTGGTTCTTGACCTTGTATGATAGACTATGGCCAAGGCCAAGGAATCCAAGAGGTTACATAAAACTCCTAAAACGTTCTAGATAGGTGTTCATCCTCCTCCATCTTTCGATTAGTTTCATAAGTACGTCTTTCGATTTCCCTGATTTTCGAGTAGTCTCAACAAATTCCCCCTAGAAATTCAATCTTGATGTGTACATCAGCCAGAAAGATTGAGTTCCTATCGAAGGTTGTTATTTACGTTTGGATAGTGTGTCGTTATATTTCTTCGATTAAAATCTATCCCTGTCTCATTTAATGCTAATGACCGTTTGAGGGAAATTGATTACCCTGACGGTGCGTGCTCACTCTGCTCCATAAATTTGTCGTTGGGGAAAATATCTTTTGGCGGCTGTTACGGATATTCAAATTAATCATTTGAATTTGTTTGCCAAGCCCATTTGTCTCAAGCCCACCAAAACGTTCAAAACCTTGTTTTTACCTTAGGGTTAAACTACTTTCATCGTTTGCTAAGCCCATTTGACTCAAGCCCACCAAAACGTTCAAAACCTTGTTTTACCTTAGGGTTAAACTATTTTCACCATTGTCTTCCTTTGCGCCCAAGTTTTCTTGCTCATCGCTCCTTCTTTTGCTCTGGTTCTTGATCTTCTTCTCCGGCCGTTCTCTCTGTTCTTGCTTTTGTTCGTTATGGCTTCTTCTGCTGCGTCCACTTCCGCTGTCGTGGCCTCCACAGTCTCTCCTACTACTGCATTTGCATCTTCTCCTACCCTAGCCACTGTAACATCTCCTAACATGGCCACTACCACTATGACCACCATGGCCGCTGCGACTTCAAATC